GGAGGTGAAGCCAATGATGTACCTGGAGCATCATTTCAACATCCCTCAGATGGGGGAATGGGGAATACCCATCTATGATGACTTGGAAGAATGTGGGATTCTAGGGTACTTCAATGTCAAGGAAGTAGTGTACTCTGGATTGATCAAGATGTTTTATGAATCCTTGAGGTTTTTCCAGGATTCTTTGAAGGAATTTGTGCTAGGTGCAAAGGTCAGAGTCTCTCCTACCACAATCGCACGAGCTATTGGGTGCGCAAAAGAGGGAAACAACTACACCAAAGAATGGATGTACGATGCTGGTGGCCGAAAGAATGTTACCAAAACTCTTCACAAGGAAGGTGAAGAGGGACCATTATCCTATAGCAAGCTTGACGACAAGGCTAAAATATACCAGCAAATACTAAACAAGTCCATCCTCCACAAGGTAGGAGGCAAAGATAGCATCTCAGACATGCATAAATACTGTCTATTTCATATGATGACTACAACTACTTTTGATCTTCCTCAAGTGATTTTTTTGCACTAGAAAGGGTGTTTGAAAGACTACAAAGAGTTTGTGGTTCATACCATGCTCTTGAATAAAATCCTCTAGGACAGCAACGCTACCATACCTTCTTCACTCTTGGAGATGAGGAGAAGAAGAGGATCATGATATTGGGGAGAAATAAGAGATTACAACCCATTGTGTTTGGAAAGGCCAATTTGGGGAAGATGGTTGTTAGCTACAAAATCCCTAATCCCACGATTGCCATAAAGGTCAAGGAGGAGATCAAAGAAGGAAAAGTTGTGACGCGCTCAACAAGGAAGCGCCATCACTCTTCATCTCCCAAGGAAGACAAATCTCTGGTTGTTGCTGCACAACCAGCAAAGACTAGGATAATTCTACCATCAGACGAAGAGTCTGCATCTGATGTTGAGGATGGTCAACCCATTGGGAAGGCTTTGAAGAAAAAGGCTTCTCAACCTCCCCTTGCACTACCTCAGCCCAAGCAAAAATGAATCATTAAGTTGGGTTCAAAGGTGGCCATGGAAATGGAACCGTCTGCATGTGCTCTTACACACGGAGCTGAACAGGAGATAGCTGTGTCAGCTGCTTAAGTCATCGTCCCTTCAGCTCAAATGAAAAACTCTGCGGACGTTCCTATTACTCCTGTCACTAAATATTCTTCTCTCGTAAGTGACATTTCTCTATCTTTCTTCCTTTGACATCTTATAAACTTTGTCTGATCAAAATTAATAAACCAAACTGCTATAAAATCTACCTAAAACTTCCTTATAGGTTGCTTTTGTAAATACCTTGGCTCTAAGGAAGAGGAAGACTGCTATCAAGGACAATCTCATGATCTTACCTCCGTGGCCTCCTTCCTTTCCATCATTTTTTCTTAGGGAACCAACAAACTCAGTAATTCTAGAAGGAATGGACCCAAGGACGGACATATACTCCATCATTTTCCCTATAACTGCTAACCCAGATGGAAAAGCAGAATTGCTTTAGCCTGACCATCTTATAACCAAGAAAGATATTATGAAAAGTAATAAGATTGGTCTGCGTTCAAAGCCACACCCCTACATCATCGACAGGACGATTAGTGTGCTCTATGAACGTTACCCCATCAACTAGGTTGGGCGCTATGTTTTGCAGAAGCCCAAAATACACGCCCTGGGGTACTACAAACCAGTATACTCTTGGCCTGAAGAAGGCTCAATCATACTGGACGCTGAAGGAAATCCTTTGCATTATTCGCAAGAGAACACCCACAAGTATGAGGTCATTCTTCTGAACATGCCTACATATGTGCAAGAGTATTACTATCTTAAGTAGCCTCCTCCTCTGGCTCCATTCTCCATTCTTGCTCGTCCACCCGCCTTTGGACTCAAGAAAAAATCACCTCTATCTTCTCCACAACAAGCATAAACACCTAAACACCCTTCATCTACGTATTTTCTACTAAAGAACTTTCCAACACTTACTATCAATGACCCTCACGGTCAAATAGTTGAAAACTCCACTCCACCATGCAAAAATGCTCTACCTATGCCGGAGTATGAATATGAGGAAGGAGTGTATGAGTGCACACCATACTGCCCAGACATACCCTTATCTCCGTCTGAGGCCTATCTAGCCCTTCCACCTGGTGCCATAACTACTTTCCCTCCACCAACCTTCAAAAGGAAGATCTATCCTAGAGGGGTGATCAAGTCCAAATTTCCATGGACTCCACCATGAGGAACTCCTCAACTCATTCGTCCTCCTCATCAACAACCCTCATCCTCATCATCACCCAGAAAGAGAACCTCATCTGCCAGCTAACCAAGTAATCCTCCATCTCCTCTACCAAAGGTAGAGTTATTCAATTCTCTGACCTGTAGACCCCTAAAATTGTCCGGGTCAGAAATAAGATGCCGATCTATTAACCCTAGGATTGGCTGGACTTAAGTGTTTTTTCTCAATACATCCTCTCATGCCTATGGCGCATGTATCAATGGTGGGTGGCCCATTTTTAAGAATCTAAGATAACTCTGATACCATCTTAGAATAGTGGATTAAGCCTAACTCAACCCTACAAAACCGGCTTGTAAGGTGAGGGTTGTTTTCCACTTATATACTATTCAATTGCCTAACCTCTAGTCGATGTGGGACTTGGATTTTTCCCAATATATCTATTCATTTTGAAGTTGTTTCTACCGGTGCCGCAAAGAGTTTTGGCAAAATGAGGATGAAGGTTTTTATTGAAATGTGCATTCCCATAGTTAGCTACTATTGTAAATATCATAGATATTTAGCAGATCTAGAATATCTCTAAATATTTTTAGATATTTATTTCCCTATTTATTTTTATTTTGTTTCCCTATTTCTTTATTATTGTTATTTCCATTTTTTGAAGATCCACTGATGCTGACTATGTAGAGTCAGTCATAGATAGAAGATCCACTTCTGGTTATTGCATGCTTCTTGGTGGGAATCTAGTAACATGGAGAAGCAAGAAACAAAATGTAATTACTAGATCTTGTGCAAAAGCTGAGTTTCAAGCTATGGCACATGATATATGTGAAGGATTATGGATGAAAATCACTTAAAGTTAAATATGAGAGTCCTGTAAAGTTGTTTTGTGATAACAATTTGGCTATCAACATGGCTCATAATCTAGTTCAGCATGATAGAACGAATCACAAAGATTGATAGGCAATTCATCGAAGAGAAGTTGGATGATGGCATTATAGTTACAACTCATATACCTACAAGGCTTCAAGTAGCAAATGTCTTCATAAAGGGACTTCCTAGTGCTAGATTCCAAGATCTGATTAGCAAGTTGGCAATGATTGATATTCATTTACCAACTTGAGGGGGGTGTTGTAAATATCATAGAAATTTAGAAGATCTAGAATATCTCTAACTATTTTTAGATATTTGTTTCCCTATTTCTTTATTATTTTGTTTCACTATTTCTTTATTATTGTTATTTCCTTTTTTAAGCATAGTTGTTTATAGTATAAAAAGGGGGATTATGGAATGTACAAAACACACAATTAATATACAGTTTCCTTTTCTTCAACTACAACCTTTCAGTGCATCAGGTTGGAGCAAATGCTTGCATCTTTAAACATCTCTTTACTCCGACCTTTTTCTTAATGAAATAGTTTTATTGTTATTGTATTTGGCTTATCATTGAAGTTCTGCCCATGGCTTTTCTAGAAATAAAGTTATTTTTTTTACGTGTTTTTGTTGCATTCCAAAAGCTTTTTCATATTACTTGTATCTATCTTTCAAGATTTCTTATCATACCCTAATTATACTTTCATCAGTAGTAAAATTTCGTTCTAAATATAAAAAAACCAAAAGAATAAATAATAATCCAGAACTTAAACAAGGAAAAATATCACCCACCCTTTTTTTTTTAACAAATCCAGCAGTACATAGTTAACAAAAATGAAAAAAATGGTAAAATACATTTTTGGTTCCTATAGTTTGCTTCGATTTTAGTTTTGGTCCCAATACTTTTAAGGTTTGGTTTTCAATCCCTATACTTGAAATTTGATGTTTGGCAAAAAATCTGAGAGAGATTACTCTCAGCTGGTATATTATATATATATATATATATATACACACACACACACAAAAAAGGAGCAGAACAAGTACAATTGCCAGCAAAAGCAAGGCTACAGTCTAAAGACCTTAACTCTTAAGATAGATAGGGCCAAAAACAGCTTTTATAAAGCCGCACAACATATATATAATAAACAATTATTTTAACACTCCCCCTCAAGCTTGAACATATAAGTTGTATGCACCAAGTTGGGAACATATAAACTGAATCCTAGTAGCATATAAGTTGTCCTGCAATTTTTCAAACCTGACTCCTTCAAAATATCAAGAGCATATTTTCTTTGTGAAATTACAACACCTTTCTTTGATTGAGCCACTTCGATACCAAGAAAGTATTTCAGACAGCCAAGATCTTTGGTCTGAAAATGGCTGAATAAGTGTTCTTTTAGTTGAAAAATCCTAGTAGCATCATTTCTTGTAATAACTATATCATCAACATAGACCATTAAATAAACTTCCCTATGTAATGACAATAAAAAACTGAATGATCTACCTCACATTGTTTCATTCCAAAAATCTGTACAATATGACTAAATTTACCAAATCAAGCTCAGGGTGATTGTTTCAGTCCATACAAAGACCGACACAATTTACAAACTAGACCACACTCCCCCTGAACAACAAATCCAGGAGGTTGCTTCATGTAAATCTCTTCCACAAGGTCACCATCAAGGAAGGCATTTTTAATATCAAGTTGGTGGAGAGGTCAATGACAAATAGCTGCCATAGCAAGGAAGATCCGAACTATGGTGATCTTAGCCACAAGAGAAAAAGTATCATAGTAATCAAGACCATAAATTTAAGTGTATCCTTTGGCTACCAACCGAGCTTTAAGGCGATCAACTTCACCACTCGGCCCAACTTTAACAGCATAGACCCATCTACAACCAACAGTCTACTTCCCACGAGGAAGAGGGACAAGCTCCCACGTGCCATTGTGTGCAAGAGCCTGCATTTCATCAATCATGGCTTGTCACCATCCAGGATGATCAAGTGTCTCATTGATAGTTTTAGGAACAATAGTAGATGACAAAGAAGAAACAAGAGAAGTTCGAAGGAGACAAGCGATGATAACTCAAAAAATTATAAACATGAGTAGACCGAATATCTTTTCGGATAGCAATGGGCCAATTTGAATTGGAGTCGTGAGAAGATGTGGAGGATGAAGGACCCATGGTATGGGAAGTTGTTCAAAGAGGATCTAAACCACGAGAATCTTCAGGAGGTGTGAAATTAGACTGTTGTGTTCTGTGTTAATATGTAATGAGAGGTGGTGGAACAACTTCAATTGACTCATGAATATGAAAGGCTAATTTTCATCTTGGTTGAAGTTAGAAGGAGTAGGATTCATCATCGGGTCAAAGGATGGAACGGGAAGAAACTATTGAATGGAAACAGGATTGTCCATGGAGGATGAGGAAAGGTGTGTTCTTAAAGAAGGTAACATCAACAGACATATAATAGTAGCCTTTGCAGAAAGTTTGTCTAAATCTGGAGGGACATTATGAACAAAGCAAGTACAACCAAACACCCAAGGAGAGACATGAAATAAAGGGTCATTTGGAAAAAAATTATAGAATGAGGAATTTGATCTTCAAGAGAGGCAAAGGACATTCTATTTATTAAAAATCAAGCAGTAAGGACTACATCTCCCTAATGAAGTATAGGAACATTCATATTCAACATTAGAGAGCGTGCAGTTTCAATGAGATGTTTATTCTTCCCCTCTGCTATAGTGCTATGTCATTTTGTTGTGATGTGAGGACATGTGTATTGACGTAAAATACCCTGTGAAGATAAAAAGGAAGAAAGTTCAACATATAAATATTCTTTAGCATTGTCACTTGAATATTTTAATTATCTTCTCAAATTGGTTCTTAATCTCATTAAAAAAAAAAGACATGAATATGGATAAAAGTTCAGACCTATCTTTCATTAAATAAATCCAAGTACATCAAGAGAATTCATCAATGAAGGTTACAAAATATCTAAAACTAAAAGATGTGGCACAGTTTGGTCCCCATATGTCTGAATGAATAGTAGAGAAAACCGAGTTACATCTATTGTCAGTTTGTTTAGGAAACCATGACCTAACATGTTTTCCTAATTGACACGATTCACATTTCAAAACTGGAAGTTGCTTGAGACTAGGAACCATTATCTTCAATTTTGCTAAACTTGGGTGACCCAAACGGTTATTCAAAAGCTTTGGTGTTGAAGTTGCAAAACAGGACACAGACAGGCTAGTTTCTAGGTAGTAGAGAGCTCATGATTCATGTCTTTCACCAATCAGACAACCCGTACCACATTCCTATATGACAAAGAAATTAGCATCAAATGCTACTGAACAATTTAATGAACAAGTCAATTGGCTTAGAGAGATTAAGTTATAAGGACAATGAGGAATGAACAAAACAGAATTTAATTTTAAGGAAGGAGACAAAGGAATTTGACCAATTCCCTGAGATGCAACTTTTGACCCATTGGCGACAATAACAAGATACGGAACTTTTGGAGAAGAAATGGACGAGAATAAGGAACTGTTACCAGAAAGTGGTCAAAGACACCTAAGTCAAGTATCCATGGACCATGACCTTCCACAGAATGAGAAATACATATTATTGAAACACTTGGTACAGAAGAAGATTGGACTTTGTTGTTGGAGATTTCAGATTTAAGCCTCAAATATTCTTAGTACTCCTCATCAGAAAACTTGGGATTTGATTTTTTAGATTTAGACACATGGGCTGGCGAGGAAAATCATGCAACGAGTAGCAATTTTCTTGTGTATGACCCATTCTTTTGCAATATGTACACTGAGGACATCCACTTCTGCCATCATGTCCTCCTCAATTGCTACGTCCTCCTCTTCCACGAGGTGCTACCATTGTTTAAGTTTCAATAGTTTCAATTGGGTTTTCATCTTTCACTAAGGTAGGAACACGAAGAAGTCAAATGACTAGGCTGTCCATGGAAGGAATTTGATCACCAGCCAAAATTTGGTCACGTATATGATTAAAATCTGAATGTAAACTTCTCAAATTCAAAACCATATATAGCTTATCAAGTTTTTTGTTGACACCCTCCAATGAGTCAGTCACAAGAAATCTTTTCAGTTCTTCTATTGCATCCCGAGCTTTAGTTACATGTGAAACCATATCATGGTTGGTCTATTTAAGAGAAGTTACTCTTTGGGTTGCATCAAAAAGACGTTGAATGTCATTAGCAAAAATATCTTTGGCCTCCTTCCAAAAAGAATGACATGTCTTAAATGATCTAAGTATCTATAATACATCAAGCTCAACTGATTACCATAGAACAACATGAAGCTGGAATTCAAGTTTCTGTCATTGAGATTTATTTTCAGTAGGGATAGCACTGGCTTCCTTCTCCAAATGGTCATGGTATTCTTGACCAAGGAACCACAACTCTAGCGAGGTAGACCAAGACAAATAGTTTTCCAATTCAGTTTTGCAATTGTAATGGTAGGAGTACCAGAAAAAATGGAAATCGGACCCGCGGAGGCCATTTCAATGACAAGGACAAAGGAGAAGAAGTTTGAACACCACAACCCACACCTCCAAGTAGGTCAAAACTAATAGTTGATGGCAGAAGCATGACTAGAAGGAGCCACCGAAACTATTGGAAGTGGTCCAACAAGATTCCGATAAGTAGAGGACAGCGCGTGAGATGCACGCACCAAATAGGGGCACCGAAGAAAAACGACGCGTGGAGGAACGTGCCTGGATATTAGGGTACGAGACTTCCTGGGTTAAATCACACTCCTTGAGGCGCACCTAACCTTGAATTCGGTGACTTAAGAATATAGAGTTGGATCTAACCCACTCTAATACCAACTTGAAATTTGATGTTTGGCACTAGTATATATATATATTTTTTTTTTGGATGATATGGCACTAGTATATTATATATATATATATACACACACACACAAAAAGGAGTAGAACAAGTACAATTGTCAGCAAAAGCAGGGCTACAACCTAAAGACTTTAAATCTTAAGATAAATAGGGCCAAAAACAGCTTTTATAAAGCTGCACAACATATATAATAAACAATTATTTTAACACCTACAATTTTAAAAAATTTGGTTTTGGTCACTACTACCAGTAATGTGCCAAAACACAAGTCCTGTAAGGTACAATCATTTGGACTTATTCCTAGTATACTCTAAAGGGCTGAATTTAAATAAAACAATAGGGACCAAAATCAAAACAGAATAAAAGGAAAAGGACTAAAATCTAAATATACAAAATTTAAGGACCAAAAACTAAATTTTTAAAGTATAAAGACTAAAACCAAAATGTATTTAATTTCAAAAACAAACATAAAGCATGACAGTAAACATGGCAAAGACCATTGAACGTGGTTAGATTTATATCCCTAAGTACCCTAATGGTATACATCCATACAGGTGGGTGTGGAAGAATAAAAGTGAGTGATATATATCTAGAAAGTAGAAAACGGATTTCAAAATGTGGTCAATTTTCATTCCTTCATTTGCAATCTTCACAATATCACATGCTCTCCTATGATTAACTCCACTCCTAACAAAAGAACTTAAAATTAACAATATGACAGAACTTGGATATAAATGCAGGTTCAAGACACGCATAATTAAATTCAAGAAAATTCAGTTAAGAGCCAAATATAGAGGTGTAATAATACTTTCACCATTAGATTCAAGAACCAAGCTGAAAGTGAGAGAAAGAACTCTGAATCTGAATGTTATTAGAATTCTGTCTTTGTGATACAATTACTCTCGCACACACATATATTGCGGTGATTAACAGAAAGTGACCTGGATTAATTGATCTGACATATACAGTAACCAATACAATACAATACTGCTACACTGGCAGCAGCAGTCAATTACCTGTCACAATCAGAAGCTAACAACCTAAGCAGAATCACGTGCTTCTTTAACACACCAGTATTAATTATGCAAGCAGTAAACTACTCAGACCTCCCTTGGTTTTACTTTAATTACACCTCCCTCAAACTTTACTTTTCAAAAAGTTCCCTTACCCACTGGTGCTATCTGTTCATCTGTTGGTTTTCACAATAAAGATGATTGTGTGCAGTAAGGGAAAAAAAATCAAGGTAAGATACAGTAGTTTCCCCTATGTTTAAATATCATTAACCTATTAGAGTAAACAACTTTTCTTCTTAATATTAGAGAGCACACAGCATTGTACTTTAACAATACATACCTCATGAACAGACTGAGAATTTGGTGCAGGCAGCACTGCAGCATTGCCATTGTACTTAGTTGTAACCTCAGTAGAGGGAAAAGAGGATAGATGACCATCACTGTCAGCACCAGACCGATGAATGTGGGCATAATAACTAGTTGGATCAATAGGTTGATGAACCTATGACAATCAAATTTAACCTTTTAAGCCACAAAAATGAAAGGTAAACTAAATAAACAGAAGTAGATAAAAATAGGTCAGAGGGCTCACAACAAAGCTTGGAAGTTGAGAAATATCATGAGCTTGAGAGTCAGATTTATCAAATTGTGCAGACTGTGTTCCCGACATTGGGGGCATAAAACTTGAACTGTATTTTTGAGAAGTATGCACCAGAGAGCACTGATTATCTCCAGATGGCAAAGTAGCATCTTGCTTGGACTCATTATACTCCTGAATAGCAGGAGATGACACTACAACCTCACCAGATGATAAATTCTCAGGCATAGTAGTGGGTGATTGTGGATGGTCAGTATAATCTTCCACAACAGTTGTAACTGGAGCATTGTGACTGCTGAAGAATGAAGATATAATTTGTCAGAGGGACAAAATGGAAAATTACTGGAAACTAACATATTAGGCAATGCAAACACAAAAGATAAGATATATGTTTCAGTAGTTACGACTTACGAGTACAGAAGAATAAAATACAGAAGAAAATAATTGAAAAGTGTGATGGAGCTAGTTGGGTCTGGAAAACAGCATTATAGCACACATATCAAATGAAAGGAGTTGAAAATTTATTTAGGCTAGTAAGTAAGAACACTCATCATCCAGAGTATTAGATTTAGGTAATTGTGTGTCAAATGTTAGCCACAAACTTGTGTATTTATATTGACAACAGTAACTGTACGATGATATCCCTAATTAATGCTAATTGTAATTAAATCAATACAAAAATAATAACGTGCTAAAAACTAATATTGTCATGCACTGCATGTTAACACAGCATAGTTTCACTCATCAAAAGTTTGAAATTTAAAGCCTAAAAGAATGACTAATTATATTACTTATGTCATAAAACTCTCACATAACCAACTGAGCAAGTCTTCAATTTTTGTGCATCAAAAGTTCTGTTCTGCCCATTAATATCCTTTCACGAATGTACTTCTATATTTATATTTATATTCATTTTTAAGTTTTACTAAACAAGTATTCACCAAACTACATTCACAAACTACAGTTTCAAAAGAATACAACCTTGGGGCCGACTCCTCTGCAGTTTCTTCAACATCCTGTGATACTTCAGAAGGTGGCATAGAACTCTTTTCATTCTCTGGGCCACTATCATAACTTGTATTACCCCTATAAGTGAACCCCAAACTCCCAAAGCTAAACTTATTCTTCTCAGAATCAGGCACCAAGATATGGTTTGGAAGTTTAACATGTTGACGTGGTGAAAGATGTAAATCCTCCATCTTCCTCTGTAGTATAGAAGCAGCTTCTCCAGAGTCAACGACCTTAGACACAGATTGTAACTGCCCAGTTGTTTCAGCAGAAGATTCAGATAAACTAGCTGATCCAGAACCCCCGCTAATTGTACTTGTGGACTTTGGTTTCCACTCCTTATTAAAACCAGCTGTTGTAAACAGAAACTACTTATAAATCTTGACAAGCCAACCCATGACCATAAATGGTTATAGCAGCAAGAAAAATGAGTGCAGTCACACTTAGAATCATCGTATTCAAGCAAATCACACACCTATCAACATCTAAAAATTAAACATACTGATTGAAGCAGTTAAAGGCACATAAATACAGTCAATTTATCTGGGTTGCAACAAATCTCTATAATCATTTGTTAAGCATCATGACAAACACTAATAAGGCAAAGGAGAATTTTCATGTAAATGCAATCATGAAATTAACATCATAATAAAACTGCATTCACAAAAATGAAAAATATCAACGTCATTTTGACTAGAAAGCTGATAACTCTAAACAAGATAAGCCTTAACTTGGTATTTACAACAGAAAAAATAAAAAAAATAAAAAAAAAAATACAGTGGGGAAAAAATATGCTTCATATAGAAGCTAATTTCATGTTCTAAAGATTTTTATATATGTGAGGTTGCGTGTGAAAGCTTGTGGACAACTACAGCAGCTTTACTCCTATTGATTCAAATCATGCTTTCTTTCTTCCCAAAATTCTCCTTTTTTCCTATTAGTTTCTCTCAGTCTTTCTTTTCATATATTGGTTCAACATCACCACTCCAATTTTCAGGTCAACTTAAAAAACAGTAAAGCATGTTTGGATTCTCATCCACGCACCTCTAATGTGGATCAGAGAAGCAACTATTAGTTGCTTTTTTGGTGTTTTTGACATAAAAAATTGATAAAACATGGATCACCAATGAGAATCCAAACATGCACTAAATGGGTATTAGAGTATAGAACTTTACTCGGAAGTTTACTGTATTTTCACTTGTAAAAGTGACTGTTGTTGCTGTTAGTGGTTAGTTGTCTGTTAGTTAGTTTGTTATCTTGCTGACAGGTGTCCTGTATTCCTTCTGCTGTACTCTAGAGTAGCTTCCTTCTACTCTTTAGCAACTATATAAATAGTTGCATCTCCTTTGTATCTTCAGGAAAATATCAATATATTTCACATTCTGTTATGGTTTCCAGAGCAAGGCTCAATCCATGGACCTTTCTCTCTGTTTTTCCTCCTCCTTTCCCTCCACCACATTCTGCTGAAATGAATTCCTCAAAAGCAATAACCTTTTTGACAGTTTCAGAAAAATTAGACTCGAATAACTACTTGCTAAGGTGTCAACAGGTAGAATCGGTGATCAAGGGACATCCTTTGTAACGATCTCTCATTAATCCACAGATTCTGCAGAAATTCAATCCGTTAACAATCACAATGAAGATCGTGTAACCAAAGAGAATTTTGCGTGGGAGCAACAAGATCAACTTCTCTTGTCTTGGCTCCAATCATCTATGTCGAAGGAGATGCTTACCAAAGTCATAGGATGCAAATTGTCCTTGCAGCTATGGGACAAAATCTATATGTATTCACACAAAATGCAAAAGCAAGGCAGTTTCAATCTAAGCTTCAAAATGTGCTGTTAGAGAATCGCACTATTTCCAACTATCTTCTCCACATACAAGAGCTCATTGATACACTAACAACAATCGGAGACACTTTCAATCAAAGAACACCTCAATGCTATCATCAAATTCCAAAGGAATACAAATCCTCCGTTTCTCTTATCAGCAGCAAAATTGAACCATTATCTGTCAATGAAGTCAAAACTATACTTCTCACTGACAAAGATATCGATAAAGAGTCACAAAAAAGAAATATCATGGAAAATCTTCATTGCTAGTCAACATCATTGAAAAACACAGCTTCTAAATCTGGTTCATCAAGAGACAAATTAGCAACTTTATGTAAGGAGAGATGAGAACAAATCCCTAGTTTTTGTTTTTATCAAGATTTTTTTTTGTGACTCCTTCCTCCTTGTTTTTATTTTTATCGAGATTTTTTCTTTTTTTTAAAAAATCTCAAATCCACATGTCAAAAAGTTGGGCCACACACATTGGAGAGTTGGGCAGCGGACCACGTCCATAGCGCACTTGTAAAGTGTCCGCTCCAGAATAGTGTCGAACTTTTGAACACAACAATCCCACACTATGTCCTTGCATCATAGTTAATAGGAAATGGTCAAGATCTTCCTTTTCAATCTGCAGGTATTACCTCCTTTACATCTCTTGTTAATTCTCAAATTCCTCTTATTCTAAAGTTAACCGTTTGTGCCTCAAATTACCAAAAATCTTATGAGTGAGTCAATTTTCTAAGGATAATCATGTTTATTTTGAATTTCACCCAACTTTTTGTGTGGGGAATTTACAGGCCACTAATGAAGTCATACTCAGAGGAGCTGTTAGTACAGATGGTTTGGCATTCTAGGCTTGGTTGGCCTTGTATACATGTTCAAAATATTGTCTACAAACATTGTAATCTTCCTCAAATAAATAATACTACTGAATTCTGTTCATCTTGTCTTGGGAAAGCAGAGACTTCATCTATGTTATCTTCAACTGTTTATAATCAGCCATTAGAATTGATATAATCAAACCTTTGAGGTCCTGCTCCTTTACTTCTATAGGAGGATACACCTACTCTACGATATAGCTTTTGCTGATGCGTACCAGATTTACTTGGCTATATTTCTCAAAACAAAATCTTAAACAATACATATTTTAAAACAATTTCAAATTCTTGTTGAAAAACAGTTTCAAACTCCTATAAAAGTTGTTCAAACTGATTGGGGGTGGGGAGTACAAACCTTTTTTCCAATAATCTAGCTGCAAATGGAATTCAACATAGGATTAAATGTCAACACACACATCATCAAAATGGTGTTGTTGAAAGAAAATATAGGCATGTTGTTGAACTTGGCCTTACTCTATAAGCTCAAGCATCCCTTCCTCTCAAATTTTGGGATCATACTTTTGCTATAAGTGTCTATCTTATCAACAGACTTCTCACATCATCCTTACAGTTTGAAATACCTTATCATAAACTCTTTGGTCACCTCCCTGATTACAAATGGCTTTTTGACCTCAGTAAATTAAAAAAAATTAAAAATACATGAAATAAATTATAAAAAAAAAACTAATTACTGAAATAGGTAGTTTTGGACAAGTCAGCATATACGTGGCACTGAAAACGCCTGGGGGTGGGCGTTTTTTAGAAAAAGCCTCCCCCCCAGGCGCCTTCTATTGCTGATGTGGCACGGGCAGATTTGAACTGAAAACGCCTCCCCCCCAGGCGTTTTGTTGACGTGTCAGATTTGAACTGAAAACGCCTCCCCCCCAGGCGCCTTCTATTTTCAGAAAGAGCCTCCCCCCTAGGCGCTTTCTATATATGGCAAATTTGAAAAGAAAGAATCTGTGGGGTAAGCGTTTTCAAAGCCACCTCTCCCTGAGAAACATTGTGTTTGATTAAGTTGTTTTTTTATTTTTAAAATCATTTCATAAAATAACTAATATTTTAGTTTACATATCACAAAGAGTAAATGTTTATTATATTTAAATTTTATAATAAATTATACATATAAATAAATATTATATTTGAATATATAATTTATATTTAAAATTTATATAAATAGATATTTTTAAATGTATAAAGTATATTTTAGATTTGAGATAAATAATTTATATTGTAGCACAATATTATTTTTAATTATTTTGACTTTGTTTAAAAAATAAAATTTAACTTATAAATAAATATGATAAATAAAATTAAAATATAATTATTTATTAATTAAATATTAATATTTTAAATTAAATTATCAATAAATAGTGTTATAATAAAATGATTTATCATAAATTAAAATATAATTTATATATTTAAAAATATTTATGTATACTAATTTTAAATATAATTTATATTATCAAATATAGTATTTGTTGAGAGGAGAGCTTGAAGCCTAAAGAAGTTTTGATGATCACAACACAAGTGTACAACAACAACTTACAACATGGAAGCACAAAAACAAAGTCAAAGAAAAGTCAAGAAAATGCTATGTAATGGAGCAATGTAATAGAGTTTAGAAATTAAGTTGTTTTGAATGAGATTTTATATTGAGTGCTTAGTATGCTTTGTGCATAATCAAATCTATATCTAAACTAAGTAGAGAGTATATGATGATGAGTTAAAACATTAAAAAGTTATTTTGAGACTTAAAATGAAGTTTTAAGTACTAACTCAAAAATAATCGATTATTGTTAAATATAATCGATTATTCCAGCAATAGGCAAAATGGGATGCCTTGCTGCAATAATCGATTATTTGCCAAAATAATCGATTATCCCAGGAACAACTTTCTGGAATAATCGATTATCCAGCAAAATAATCGATTATATTGTTCTTGATTGGTTTTCAGAAAACCTGAAGAACAAAATAATCGATTATTCTTTAAAATAATCGATTATCTGCGTCTGAAACTTTTATAAATAGTTTGAACTTTGAGAAACTTCAGACATGAGTTAGAACTGATAATCAAATTGTGAAAAACGTTTTTGTGGAGTCTCTGTGACATCTTGGAGAGTTTTCTTTGTGAAATCCAAGAGTGAAAACGTTTGTGAAAAGCTTTGTTAGAAGATCATCATCATCATATTCTTGAAAGGGGAAGATAAAGATTTGTTCAAGAATTCCAGGTGAATTCGTTCCTTTATTCTTTGTGAATCTTTGTAAAAATCTTGAGAAGGGTTTCTCAAGTGGTAAGGTTTCTTGTAGTGGGTTCTACAAGGGGTGCTTTCTTGGGGTCAAGAAAGTGGTTATCTTTTGTGTTGAAGTATATGCATGTGTGTGTGCTTGTAAAACTTCTTCCTTGAGATAGTGGAACAAATCTTAATCAGGTGTTGATTAAGGACTGGATGTAGGTCACATGTGGAGTGGCTGAACCAGTATAAAAGACTTGTGCAATCTTCTTCTACCTTTATCTTTTACTTTGAGTAATTGCTTGATTGAATATTAAAGAAGATAATTCTTGATTAACTTGTGTGTGTGAATATTGATGGTTTAATTTGAAATAGAGCATTACATTTGAACCTCACTATTTTGTAATCAAGAAAGCATATATCATTCATACATTCATAACAAGTCTTTAAAGAAGCTTCATTTGAAAATTCAGTCTTAGAAAAGTTTTAGTGAAATAAAGATCCTAAATACTCTGATAAATTTTAAAAGGGTCATAGAATCCAATTCACCCCCCTCTTGGATTGTGCCATTCTTTTCTAACACTTGGAAGTGCACTAGTTTCATGGCATAGTAAAAAGCAAGCTTGTGTTGCTTTAAGTACAGCTGAGGCTGACTATATAGCTGCTGGAAGTTGTTGTGCACAAATACTCTAGATGAAACAACAACTAAGAGATTATGAAACTGA